TTTTTACAAACTGGCTGAGAAACTGTTCTTAATTCTAATTATTTATTGTGGTTTTCTAAGTAACCCTTAATTCTGGACTATCAAAATTAATTTAAATATTTAACCTAGTTTTCTTTTAATTTTTTTTTTTTTCACTGCTTACATATATAGTTTAAAAGCAAAATGAGTGTTTCTTCTACTTCTAATCCCTGTACAAATTCTGGAAGCATACATGTTTAAGCAAGCAGATCACAGTCTTCTTTGAAACTTAACACCTTTCAGTTAATACATTTTTACATTGTTCCTTTTTACATGAACAACGTAAATAATTATGTATTGTTCATGTGAACAAATGTATTTATTTCTACTAAGGAAATGGTGTTTAGTAAAACGTGCAAATGATAAACAGCACTGCTGAGAGGGACCTCATTGGTAACTGCTATTAATAATACATTTTAGTAATTTTTTGTCCTCCATTATGAGGAACATAGCATACTTTTTACAAACACTCACACACTTACCCTCACACCAATCCAGCACAGTTGACAAGCGCCTTGTCCCCATTTTACAAACATGAAAAGTGAATCACTAAGGGTGAGTCTGTTTGGAAAAACTGAAGACCAATCCCAGATCTCCCAATCCCTGGTACTATACTTTAAGAAGCATCCCATGACCACCTCAAATTACCTATAGTGTCAGATGTACTGCCTATTCCTCAGAAAGCTATCTGATCATAATGCTGAGCATAAAGAGCTCTAGACACTTTATTACCATTGTTGTTAGTACTACTACCCTCTACTTAATTGTATGTTTTTGTTGTGGAAGCCATGTGCGCTTCCTAAGGTAGGAAGACTGGAAGAGCTTCCCGAGCATATATGGCCTACACCACATCTAATCCCACTGGATCTGAAGAATGTTTTAATTCTAAATGCTACCCAGTGTGGATCCTCACTTCGACTGCATATGCCCCCTTGTATGCCATCACTCATATGTAGGTTCAGAGATGCCATTCCTTCTCAGGGTGGAAGACACTCCCCTCCTATGGCTATTGTATGTATTGGCCATCAGAGGATACCTGTTCAACTTGGGACCATCCCATTCACCATTTATTTACTTAAACACTTTTTAAAACCACCTGCCTTGTGCTAGGCCATGGGTGCCGACAATTCTTTTAGCAATTGGATAACAAAAGAAAGTTTGTTCTTTCAAAATGCTGAAGCCTTGATTTTCCTTTCAAGTTGGTTTGAATTGAAAGGACCTCCCACAAGGTGGAGGGTTAATAATTCAGGATTGCACGTTAGTATTTTCATGGGGAAGAAGGATAGTCTTAAATTGAAGGCACTGGATCACAGGAGATCTGGCTTCCCTCTCAGACTTCCCATGTAGCTTTGGGTAAATCACTTTTTTTTTTCTTTCTGGATAATCAGTTGAGAGGCTAATTCTGTTTATATTTACAAGGCCAGCCTACAAACCTCCACAAAATAATTACATAGAAATAAGATTTCAGACAAGGATCAGTCCTGATTCATCTCTCACTTAAGCAAGTTTTAAGTGTGAAGTCCCAATGGTACAAATGCATACAATGGACGCTAGGCATGTGAAAAGACCCACTGACTTCTCTAGTACTACTTGTATGCAAAATGACTCATGTGGAACTGTTTAGAGGATTGATGTTTAAATGGGCTGAGGCAGGCCCATCTGCTCTTAAGTGAGGTATAGGGGTTAGATTTTATTGTCACTGTAGTTGAAGGCAAAACTCCAATTTCAATAGGATCAAGATGAGACCCTTGAATCACGCAGAGAGTTATAGAGATAGTTTACATATTTCTTTCATTTCCTTTTTTTACATTTTTTTTTGTTTCACTAAAACACATTAGGATAACACTATAAGCTTTGATAAGGCCTGTAGGATGGGGCCCTACAAACATGCCTGAGGTTCTAGTACCTGGAACTTGGTATAATTTGGTGTGGTATTTAAAGGCACAGTTACTAGAAAAATATGTTCTTCTAGCTCTTTCTCAATTTAAGAAGAAGCAGAATAAGGACAGTGGGACGAGTAGGATTAAAACTGGGGTAAAACCTTAGCCCAAGCATAGAAGCAGAACTGGTTAAAAAGTTAAGTCCTACTAGCACCGAGCCTGAGACAGCAAGTTGCTGTACAACTCCTGCTGAGGAAAGTGGAGAAGATAGTAGCTTCAGGATTTGACCTGTGAAATCAAAGCTGCTCAATACAGCTTTCAAAATTTTGAGCATCTAAAATGCATTTTTATCACATACAATAAGACAAATGTATAATATAAATAGAACATTAACCATAACATTTGCAATACTCTGATCCACACTTGCCTAATGATGTGAATCATGTAATACGCAGAAAGCTCAATTACTTAAGATGTTTCCTGATGTCTGCGTAAATTAATCAAGGTGTTTTTCAGGGCTAGAAGCTGGATAGCTGTTATCTGAAAATTACTTAGGAATCTTGCTATGATTTCTTTGACTGGCATTCAGGTGAATCGTGTGAATATGGTTTGTACTATAGTAGAAGGTTCTGAAAATTGTTAGTAAAACTGTGACTTGTAAATGATGTGGGCCCTGTAAAAAGCAGCTTGGATAATAAAACAGGGATAAGCATTAAGTTGCTGAAAAATGGTGTATTAGTATTGATGCATGGCAGTGCAGATATTATACATATACCAGTAAAAGTGATTGGAAACCAGTTTATACTGGTTTAGACAGAAGTTTGGCACAGACTGGTTTAAAAATGATGGAATCTGGTCTAAGATTCCCCCCCCCCCGCCCCCCAAAAGGG